TGTGTTGTCTAGTTTGTGGTATCTACATTATTAATAAATATTTGTTTGTGTTAGTTTGCCTCCCATTTATTACTCTTCTACCAGAGCTGTGCCAGAGTAAAAAGAACTGAAGTGCCACTGACATGACTATACTGACCGCTGTGGTATAGTCTTGTCATATCTTCATAGTTTGTGGGTTATTTAATTTTTGATTATCCTACTCTGTATTTTCTCATTTCTCTCATTTGTTACTGTAACATTTGTAATGTCTGAGGCTACTGCAATAAAACCACAGTGTTTTCTCATCAAAGAGGGGTTGTACATCTCCAGACAAAAGTGCTCACTGTGGATGCACTATGCACACGCAAGACTGGTGAAAAGGACTCCCTTTAGATACAGTGCACAGTCATGAATTCCATTCAATATCGAAAAAAAAATTCTGGAAATAAATCCAGATTGCACTGTTTCAGTTTCAACAAGCTCAGTTTGGTTCAAAACAAATTCAAAAACAGTTTTTGCATTTTTTGCATTCACATTAGTTCAAAAACAAATGCGAAAACGTTTCAACTTAATTCCTAAAACAGTGACATTTTTGGAACTCTAAGAATATAAAACACCTCTTGAAGCACCTTCATGTGCTGTTTACAGATGCACAAGTTAAAACTGAAGACGAAAGGCTTCTTGATTGCTCTCTGTGATAAAAAGGATTGGACAAGCGGAATACACTACATATTCATGAGCTCTGCTAAACTCACAACAGCCCAAAGCATTGCCCTTTGGAGCTATAATACGGAGAATTCTTGTGCGTGGCCTTCTGATAAAAATGAAGACGGGATAAAAGCAGAGAACACCCTCACTTCTATTCTCTTTTCAATGTCACATTTCAGTGTTTAACCCAAGTAGTGAGGAGCCTCTTTTATTTTTCAGGAGAGCCCTGTGGCTTCATGATTTAAACAAAGTGGAACACTTTCCTGCTTTCAATTAATATGCACCCTGCAGCTTTAAACCTACAGTACATCTGGAGTAGATTGGACTGAATGTTAAGTCCCCTCCACCCGAAGAAGAAAAGCAATGTTTTATTTTTGAACTGACTGGCGTCTGTGCTAGAACTGCATTTTCCAGTCCTTACATACCTCAAACATGCTTACTTTCCATCCCTTTACTGTTGAAATAAATGGCAGGCTGCTATGAAAAACTCAAAGACAGTACCCTAATAAAGTTGACAGGTCTCTGAAATATTGTTACTTTTTCTCCTTTAGTGTATTGCTCTTTTGTAAACTCATCGTCTCTGTGCTATAAAAGGGACGTCCAGTCCTGGTCCTGGTGTCTGATATGTGTTCAATTTTATTTCCAGCTCAGCTCTTTATGACCTAAATCACCACCGTGATGTCCAGTTTAAACTCTTTCTTCAGGTGCTGCTGACCTAGAAAACGTGCAGACACACAGGCCCTCCAGAACCAGGATTGGACACCCCTGCTCTGGAATCCAACCAAACACTTTAAAACAGTAGAAGTGCCTCTTCGTCTTCTAAACGTTATATCTTCTAGTGAATTGTGGTGTCCTAACTCTATTCCTGCTGGACGTACTTTAATACAATGAAACAAACTTACATCCATTAGTGTTCATGACTATGTTTTCCATTACGTCCCAGCAGGCCCACTAAGCAGCAGATCAGACAGAGAAGTAAGAAACTACTTCACCTGTTGAAATAAGGCTAACTTTATAAAGCAAGAGTATAAGTCAGGACACTAGGGCTGACACCCCTGTTCTTCAGGAGGAATGTGCAGGAAAGTGCTGCTGTGATACCCCGGTTGATTTTCTCACAGAATTCCAGTATTCCCTGGTAATATATCCAGACTACAGATTATCTCTAATGTCATCTGTGCTATTGTGCAGCTACCATGTACAGGTTTCTCAGTCTCAGGCCTTTGGTTAATCCTGATACCTTTGTGCTTAAAGGGTTAAACACCATAACACTCACAGCGTCTTGTAGCTTGGCCTCAGACCAGGGCTGGTGTCAGGTAATCCTGTTGGCAAGGGGGGGCTTTACATCCTTTGGAGGGACAACGATAAAATCAGATTACTTTATTAGCCATATACAATTTTCTTGCATTAGGAATTTGTCTTTTCACAAACTCCAGCTTGCTCTCCATGAGACACACAGACAGGGAGAGAAGCTTGGGGTCAGAGCACAGGGTCAGCCATTGTACAGCACCCCTGGAGCAGCTGGGGTTAAGGGCCTTGCTCAGGGGCCCAACAGAGTAGGATTCCTCTGCCAGGATTTGAAACCGGTAACCTTCCAGCCACAGGCGCAGATCCTTAGCCATAGAGCCACCGCTCCGCCCTACAGGTAATCCTTTAGAATCCTGTAATCCAGTAAAAGGTCATACAGGTAATCATTTTCTGCATTCTGGAGGGTCTGCATCTAAACTGCATGTGTTAAGTAGTGTTCTTAAAGCATTGCTTCACCAGTGCTCGTTTCAGATGGACAGCGCTCTGTGCAATGGGTTCAAATACAGTATGTACTTCAGCACATGGCAGTAGTTAAAAATATAAAGATGCCACATAGATATCACAACTTCATCTCAAATCTCTTATCTTGCCATATTCTCTGGGATTCCCTATTTTCCTATTCACAGACTCTGCATCTTCTACAGACCAGCCACAAGATCGCACACACTGCTAGTGTTCACAAGTCAAAGCAACAACTCTTTCACACAGAGAGCCCAAGAGGCAGGTTCACTGGTATCATTCTACTCTTGGTTATTAAACCCAGACAGTGCTTATCACGTCTGTACTATAGCCAGCTACAGGATCTGTTTTATAAGCAGTGCAAGGAGGGTGGTAATTCTCTTTCAATAGCAATGACACTTTTCCAACTGAATCCCTGTACATTAGTAAGCTGAAAGAAATGTGCATAGTTACTAGGGAAATCATTTATTGTAGACATTCCTGTTCTTTCTTTCAGTGTATCCTAATTGTAATTATGAGCTTTTAACAAGCAGGGTTCCATGTTCTGGCCTCATTAATAACCGTGAATCTGTCACAAGATTAAGCTTAAACTCCCTCTGACAAAAAAAAAACCAACACAACAGTATATCAAAACAAATACAATTACTGTGATGGCTGCCACAAGTAAGACCACTGTATTATTTTAGTGATTGTCACAAAGTTGCTTTTTAAATTAAAATAATGTTTGGGTTCATTAACACACTTTACTTCAAAATACACAGTGACATCTTCTGAAGCTCAAAGCATACAACTCTTCTCAGTCTGATTATTTTTGTCAGGGATTCAGTTCACTTTTTAACTACAAATAGGTGGCTCTTTTTTTGTTCTGAATTTAAAAATCCTAAATGGTGCGAGTCGACGTCTAAACTGTGTGAAGGTACCAGTAATCCATCAAATGAAGATAACCCTAACAAAATCTTTATTTTCTGCCACATAAAAGACCCAGTACTTAGCTACAGAAACACACAGTACATGTGTGGGGAATCGGACAAAAGTGGAGGGCAGCCTACACCAAGACAAAAATGAATTTTGCTGGAATTTTGTTTTTTTGTATTACTTCTGCATGTGTTTTTCTTGTGGGAAGAACGGTTCTGGATAATTTGCCCTGGTATAAACCTACATCATTTGCGTAAGACATAAATTCCCATAATTTACAGCAAGGCACACTCTTAAATACATATCCTAACTTAGAAAGGTGTTCCTTATGATTTTCTGTCTAGGAACTAGAAGATATTAATTCCACAGTGAAAACACACACACACACACACACACACCTGAAGACGATCCACAGCCGAAATCTGTTTTTTTTCTTTCTATTGATCATCTTGGAAACTCGATGTTTCTTTACCACTCACACACCGATACAGATCCCCACTCTTGTCTGCCTATTCTGAAATAATCGGTCATGAAAATGAGATACATGGCATATATAAAAAAGTGTCTTTATGATAAGTGAAAAAAAATCGCATGAAGTGTCTTAAAACTATAATTATAAGGAGGCGTATTTTCCTGTTCATTTTTATGATCATCTTGATTTCAAAGGGAAAAACATTACATAGCACTAAGTAGCTGGTGACAACACTGGTGGGCAGGCATGGTGTAAAGGTGATGTTTCTTGCAGGACTCAGTTGTCGGGCTGCTTTTAATCTGCTCGGTGTTCAGAACTTGTTTCTGTCAGGCCTGCTCAGAGGCAGGAGAGTGTGGCCTGGCGATGTCCAAGCACAGGGCAAGCTCACACATTGAGGCAGGACAATGAAGCTGAGGGAACGCATCTGATCCACAAAGGGGACCGTCTAGACGCAGTCCCATCACCCTGCCCAAATCTGGCGTGGGTGTTCCCAAAGGGGCTGTAATGTAATTGTTCTGATGTCTGTGTTCATTCAACTTGTCCAGCACTGTGTCAGATGTAATTGCTTCTGAAATACAGCGTGCTCCCAACATGAAGCACCAGGAAGACAATGTTATTTGGGGAATTATAAGGAGTATTAAACAACAGAAAAAAAAGTATTTAAAAAATTTAGGGCTGTAAACGATAGTGTTCAAATGCCCATAGTTTGGTGATAAAAAGTTCTTCCTAACCTAACAGTATGTCTGCTAAGTACAAAGCAGTTGAACGGTGATAGTCTGAAGCGTCCAAGAAAGAATAAGTCAAAAACAATAAAACAATTTGTGTTTAAAGTGCTTGTCAAGAAACTGAAAACAAAAAATAAAATTGTTCTCCTCTGAACTTTTATCTACTTCATAGATCATGCTTTAATAGAAATGTTCTGATGGTAACAGATTTACCATCGATTTAAAAAACATAAGAATCCTGTGCAAACACCTTCTAGAAAAATGTTAACAATGGTTTATGAAACGTTTAATATGGCTAGATAGTATGTAAAAACATCATCACTATCAGATGCATAACTAAAGAATCACACACATGTTTAAAATTCTTATTTTTATTATAGTACAATAAAAACATAGCTGTGGAATTTCAAATACATTAATATTTCTATTATCTCAGAAGTCTGCAGTTTGAAATGAAAACCAATGGCTGACACAGACCTACTGTAGATTTTGATGTTATTATATTGCTGCAGTTTCCCTTGAAGGCACACACTTATGTCTTCCTTATAACTATGAAAAAATGCACTGCTGTTTACACTAAATTTGATTATTGACAGAAATATTAAATATAGAGCCGCAAATTTCATCGGAAGTTGCACATATTTTCATAATGGAAGCTATTAAATAAAAAACCTTAAAAACGAGTGCCAATCTCTGTGATTCCTCCTCGTTGGAGAAGAATAACATTAAAAAATTCATGCTTAGAAACTACTCAAATGTACTAAGTTTTTTGGGGGTCTGCCACGATTCAGCAGTAACAATAGGCAGGAGGTGTAATTTAGCCTAAAACAAAGCCCCAGACAGGCCTGACACATTTTTATTAGACAGACATCTACAGATGAGGCAGAAGCAGACAACCCCTATATACAATGACACACTTGGGAACACTGACTATAAATTCACAATGCACAGATCAGGTTATACAATCCTCAGTACTTATCTCTCACCTAACTGTCTAGCCTTGTAACGTCCCCGTGTCCATCTGTCCTTAGCTCTGACTCCACCTGAGTCCACATCCAAAGCTATCTGGTGAAGTAGTCCTGCATTTCGGGGGGGGGTTCACCTCTGATGAAGACATGAAGACCCACATGACAATACCCCTTGGAAGATACAACAACAATAATAATAATAATAATAATAAACTTTATTCTATATAGCACCTTTAAAGGTGGCTTCTCAAAGCACTTACAGAACAACAACAAAAAAATACACAAGATTTGCACAATGAAAATACACAATGAGAGGAGAGAGTAGATGGGGGCACTGAATACAGTAGGAGCAGAGGGGTGAAGAACAGGACCAGTTAAGTAAGGGCCCTTCTAAAGAAGACGGTTTTGAGTCTAGAAAGAGACTCTTCTTAAGGAAAACACGTGAAAAAGGCTGGAGATGAGAAGTGGCCATTTAGCTTTTTAAACAGAGATTTTAATCAAAGTTCATGGCAGATGGTAGCAGCCATTTTCCATGACGTCAAACTCGGAAAGACGGCAGTAAACCTCCCTCCCTTCCTCATATTCATCTTTCTGCATCCCTCCTTACCCTGCTCCCCCTTGGAGAACTTTGCTTTGCGTACGTGTCTCCTGACTGCCTCATCCTTCAGCCAAGCGGGTTAAGCCACAACTTCCTATGCCTAAGAAAATTAAGCAATTTGGTGAGGTCATTACTTGTGAAACCAACACATCGTCCGTTCTTCCAGCTACAGCGACTGGCTGCTAGTGTGCTCTGACCCAACTACTGTCTCCAGTCCCCCATCCAGGCTCTGAACCCAGAAAGTACCACTTCCGAGGCTCGAACTCCTCCTGCTGTTCTACACTTTTCTGACAGAACGTCCCTACAAGCCTCCAGGACTTCCATCCTGCTGCAGTCAGGTGGAAGCCAGGTTTATGCTTTTCCTGGTCTACCACTTACTCCCCTCCCTGTAGAAACTGCATGAACCCTCCCTCGAAGTCTCCTGCCTCTGCCACTCCACCATTGTTTTCTGGGGGGGTCCCTGGGACTCAGGCACACCTGCGCCTTCATTAAGCTAAAAGAGTCGGCCTGCTTCGCTGAGCTGTTGTACACATGCTTTAAGCAACATCCAGTGCACTCTGCTCTCAGTTCAGACAAAGCCCATCCACAGTTAGCACAGAAGCTGAGGTGAGGGAGCCAATCACTTCAGGCTCGATTATGACTCAGCTGCTAGTCTGAGTCATATGTAGAAATTAAACATACACACATGTGCACAAAACACCAGCCCTCTCTGCCACTGCCTGCTTTTCATTTCCATCCAGCACTGCAGCTCTGTTACCATTCTCCCCAGCTCTATACCTGAAAGACCTGGGAATCTGCTGCTATGCCTATATAATAAGGAGTCAATTTACACCCGAAGCAGACATAAGGAGAAACCCACGACATCTTCTCACAAATCAGACAGATGTAATTACCAGGCCAAGACTTAATTACAGCCAATCCAGGAACTGTGCATGGTGCAACACTGACACTGCTCATTCACCGATTCTGCATTCAGATTCCAAAGACACTTCCTTTAAGGTTAATTCAGAATTTTCTCCTGTAGCAAATATACCATATTATTAGTCCCCGTAGACCTGAAGGATGAAAGAAAATACAAGATAAGAATCACAACAATTCACATCATTTAGAATTTAGCAATATCTTAATGGTAAGTAATGAAGAAAAGTATTGTTTAAAAAGCAATCTGTTGCAGGTAACATGCCTAACAGATTACTTCTTGATATTAACTGGAGGTGATATCTTACCTCATATAGGAGCTATACACACTGCACAGATCACTGTTACCAATGTAAATTATTTCCAACCTCTAATTAATTTGATAAAGTAATCCCTTAAATAAGTAAATTGTAAATGTTATAGATTACTTTTTACAAATACAGTTCTCCATCACTGGTCGTGGTTGGGTAAACCACAAGGAAAGACTGTTCAGAATGCACTCTTGACATCAAGAATTTGTCTGAGCTTCATAAAAGCGCACATTTTATTATCCATCCACACATTAAAAAAAACCTTAAACTTCAGAACCTACAGTAAAAATGAACTTTCATGCAGTCTACTGACTTGCAAATTATTGGGTTCATGTGCTGTTTTTAAAAATATCCTTTCCCTCTATTACAACACTGCTTTGAATTGCTTAATGCTTGGACAATTATTAAATTCATATCCTAAGTATATTTTTCCAAAAGGCCATAATTATAACAAGTGTTTTAGTTTTGTATAGATATTTAATCCAAATCATGGTTTAGTGTTAATGATATCATAGTGATGATTATCACAACGCATTTCTAAAAAAACAAAAAAACCTCTATATTTTATTAACTAAACTGATAAACCGAAATATCTGGTAAAAAAAAAACAACTGCATTTTCTATAATTGGTTTGTTTTGTATACTTTAGAAAAAAATATAATTCAGCTGCTGTCTTATTTATTTAGAAAATGAATCATTTGAAAAAAGTGATTAATAGCAACAATATAAAGAAATGTATAATGTTTAACACTGTAGGGCACAGGTACAGTGCTCGACATTAAAGTGTAGCATCACAGGATGAAATGATAAGAACAGCCATATTGTGAAAAAATGACCAATAGTAAATTTAAATGAAAAAGGAGGAAGAGAACGTTTCTAAAACATTAGAAAAAGGGAACCGGCCTATGAACAGTAAATCTTGTTGTACCAGTTAACCGTGAAGACCGTTCATGTAAAGGCTATTTTGCGTCAGCCTATAAGTTTATCGAACTGTAACCCAGTAGTAGAAATGAATTATTTCAGTACATAGGTAACTGGGGGGGATCACTAACAAATATACATTATTTATCGTCTATGCACCTTTAATTTCAAGTCAAACCGAACAAAACGTGTCGCCTGGCCTGTATGGCGCAGGCTGTGGTTTACGTACCTAATTGACGCAGAGCACTAAGAGGCGACAGCCAATAAACAGTTAACAAAAAAGTCTTCACAAAAGGTTTTGACGGGTCTGAAAGAAACGGTCTGCGTCGTGTCTGGGACTGCTATTAGCTAAATCTTTAGAAAAGGGGAGGGGGCGTGAGTGCGGGGCTCAGCTAGCCGCGGCCTGTTTCATGACTACTGGGAGAGTCGCGGCATTGTAATCGAAGAGCTAAATCCGGCCAATCTGTTTTCTGCGCCTTAAATTTCAATTTGAAAGTAGACTACCTTTTAAATACACTGCCGAGAATAAAATACCCTTTGGAATCGGTTAATAATACAGGCCCGACATAGCCTAGCGTGGCTACAGTGACAGGGAGGTGAAATGAAACTGAAAATAATTAAAATGATGTATTTGCTAGGTTTCTTCGTAAGGTTTTTCAAAACTGCCTCGGCTTTTTCCGGGTGAGGCTCGGTTCAAGGTTTTCACGTCCAAGACGGCACCCAGGCGGAGGACTCTTAATTGCGCTAGCCCCCGCCTTTTCAAGCGCCATGGTGTTGTTGATATTCCCTACATTTCAATTCAGCGGGGCGAATTCTGCAGCTGCCTTTCTCGGGGAGCTGAATAGAGGGGACTTTTTTTGGGGAGGAGAAGCTGTGAATGCTTTCCCGATGAGAGATGAGGCATATTGAAAACTATATTAAATTACCCTGATTAACAATTTAGCCACGAACAGGGGAGCTTTAGGAGGATCTCTATAGGCAGGACTAGGGGCTATTCATTCTTCTAGCTCAGAGGTCGAAAGGTTTCTCAAGTTCACAGGCTCTGAGGCTTTGTTATGCTAACAGACAATCTCAAATCAGCTGCCTAGTGGAGTGTGAAATATAAATGATTCCTTGAGAACTTTCAGTAAGTTGTCATCCTGTGTCCCTCCAAATACCACGGCTGTTTGTTAAAATTCTGAACTTTTTTTGGGGAAAAAAAAAACTTCCCAGTCTTAATGAATGCTTCTACTCGTCCGCTAGCCATCCCATTGACTCTCTCCAGACTCTTGGCAATCCTGTCTTGGGTACCGGTTTAAATCCCATGCCATGATGCACTCTGGTTCAGTTATTACAGAGAAGCGAAATAAAAACGAGTAGCAGTGAGTTTCAGCCGCCCAGTGCCGCTTAGACAACTGATTTAGTTAAGTAATCAGTATCCTGGTCTGTATCCAAACTTCTAGGGCACAAAAAAAAAACAGTAAAAAAATAAACATTTTAAAACGCAAAGCAGAATTTGTTACTGTTGTTTGGCTATTGGAAATCGAACTTTTTTGTAAGTAAGAAAATAAAATAAATCAGAAACGCGGACTCAAGTCAAGAGCGCGGGTCAGCATTGCCCGTCTTAGCCTCTCTAAAAAGTTCTGAATTTAGAAGTGACAAAAACATGTTATAAAATCAATTATCATGTATAACCTTAAAAATACGTTTCGACCTTTTAGGCGATAATCTTCAAACGATTTATGAACATTTAGGCCTAAATATTTAGGCGATATATGAACAACTGAACTGATCAATTAAATCATAAATGTGTAATTGGTAAACAGATTGCAATGATAAGAATTCCCTATAGAGAATCTGATCCCTGAGCTCCTCTGGCCCAGCACATTACATCACAAGGAAAGTCGAACCCCTCTTCCAATCGTCATACAATTTCCCTTTTTATCACTAGGTGCGTTCTTTAAAGACATGTACTCGCAAGGACAATTTGAAACAATAATTTTAAAACTATGTACTGAAAAGTGCTTTGAATGAATTGAGAACGAGCTTTCCTTCAAAACCCGATAATTATTAAGGTTATTTCAGAATTCTGTGGAATTATTATTATTATTATTATTATTATTATTATTATTATTATTATTATTATAAAATATCATTCTCCTTAACTTGTTTATGGTAAAAGATGTCCCTTCAAAAGAGTAAACCAAAGAATAAATAACACTGCGCTGCATTACGCATCCTAACAACGCATTTTGCGACATTGTTGTAAAACTGAGTCTATTATTAAGTGTAACCTTTTAAAAAATAAACAGAGTTCTGTATTGCACATTTTATGAGTAGCAGTTATTAATCCGAAGAATGGACCTAATTAATGTTATCCTTTCTCGTCAGTACATCAATGCATGTACGTATTATTAGGCTAATATTAGTTGAAACCACAGTCAACGATTGTGACACTTTGTCCGTATCCGCAAATAACGAAGTTCTGAGACGTCTCTTGAAGAAGCGGAATACAGATGTAATTGGCAAATTTATTTAAAAGTGTGTCTGAGCAAATTAAATAAATATTCCGATGCCTGTACACCACGCACAAAAAACAATACCGTTTAACACTACATAAGTACATTAAAGGCAACATAAATAGTGTGTATCTTGCATTGCATCCCGAGTTGCCGTCCTGCACATAACTTATCGTGGTTATTTTAAAAGTCTAATAACGTATTTACATATGTCCGCTGAATTTGCTCATTAAGAGTAAATGTGTCATAAAAAAATACTGATAGCAAGACACCATGAATTTCAGTTTGCATACACAATACCGATGTGGGAATGAGTAACATAGATTCCATCCAGCGAGTAAGGCTATATACTGGGTAGAAAGCACACCTTCAGTGCCAGAGGAGTCTGAATTAATTGTTCTGTTCACTGATTTTAAAAACAAGTCTTATATTTCACTGGCAACCAATGCAAGGATGCTAGGAAGGGAAAAAAATATATAATGGTCAGAGCTGGGTTTGGTTATTACCCGTACAACATATCGCTCGTATATATTGGATAGAGCGGCTAATGGGGACTGAAGATAATTACTCCAGGAAGTTACAGAAGAGATCAAACACAAGGGGAATGGGCATCAGCAGAGGGACCTTTAAAAGCCATAGCTGGCTAAAGAAGACCTAGTCAGACAGCTAGAGAAGCTGGCAAAGAAGGGCGCTATAATTCAAGCCCTTTACGTCGTGGATTTTCTCTAACGAATGTGTATTAGATACTAAATTCTAAAAAAAAAAAAGTTAAATGAAGTCGACAGATTTTGCAAGAACTTGGGTAATGTGTTTGTTTTTTTCACACATTGACTGTGTTGAAAAAGGGTCGAGGGTGGTTGATTGACAATAGACAGTAAAAACAAAATGAATGTAAAATATGCGTTCTATGGCGCGTTTCGTGATAGGAAAAACCAAGCTTTCTGACTTCATCGGAGGACACATTTGTGTTGCATATCCCCAAATTAGTATTACGAGCAACAGCAGAAACAACAGCCTTTAATGTTTTTAAGACCCATCCATGGAGCTCTATCCCAGTAACGTGTGGATAGCCCTGCATCGCCGTGCGTGTTTACAATGAATTCAGATGCCATCGATTTGTTGTTGAATCTACGTTCTTCCGATTAAGAGAGAAAGTTACCCAGAACATCAGGTCTGCCTTTGAGCTGTTAACTTCTGGGAAACGAAACGAAACAGGATATACATTCATAATAACTGGTTCTGATGGAGTGGTTGAACGTGTAGTGTCTCTTTATCGGAAAACACAGAACCTTGAAAGTATAATTATCGAAAAAGAAAAAAACGATTTAAGATGAAATGATAAATGATTTATTCCACATATTTCTAACCTAGATCTCCAAACGAGCTTTTAATTTGACAAACGAGAGAGCGCTAATTAATATAATTGTTTATTCCAATATTCACATTAATTAAAGCTTAATTGCGCGATAATTTACATAATACAAATAATAATAATGTAAGAACAGGAAGAAGAGCCCAGTATCTGCCACTAAAATGCTAATTCATCTAAATATGTCTGAATTCCAATTAATGAAAGAAAACGAGGGGAAATACAGACCTTTAACAATTCAATGATAAAGATAACTCTTTACCGCCACGTCGTTTAAAACAATAGCCTATACGTTTAGGAGTAAGAAAAAAACAGCTAATAAGGATCTAAACTACTATATTACAAATGGCTTTTAAAGTTGGTCGTTAAAACGCGTTCATCTTAAAATAAATCTAAAATTAGACCTTAAAATGAAGCTATACATTTGAGTGCAGGTGAATACAAATCAATTAAATACACCTTAAATTATTTTTCGTCCTAAATTATTTTTTAATGGAGATATGATATCAAACATTCACTTGCTACACGCCACCGCTTTTTAAATTCCCTCACAAGCTGTCCAAAATGTGGCAGATATCCGCTCTTCCATTTTAAAAAAGCGCGGTTCTCAGACCGCTGAACACGCACAAAAATACCTTTTCCGCCTCTTTAAATGACGTGGACTGACAAAGCAGATGAGCATCCTAACGTGTATTTGTCTCTGCAGGAAATTCAACAAATACATTATCTGAAGTCATCAGGGAGAAGTAATCAATACAAGTTAACAAGCAAGGGTTGATAAGATAACATTTATGAGAGGTCAAATGTCAAACGCCAGTCAAAGACTCTTAACCCCCTGGGTCATAAACCCTCACACTTAAACACACAGATTGTTATTTATTACATTTTCACAGAATTTAATACACTACAAATGGTCCTTGTAAACATGATTTTTTTGTCCCTTTAGTAAAGGTTATTTTTATGACATGAGAAGGATTTATAAAGGGTTCAATTTATTCACACCACCTTCGCAATGCCGACCCATCAAGCACGTAGCACACGCGACTACCTAAAATGGCCTATTTAGCAATCTGTCCGCTTAATTAAAAAAAGAATGCAAATTAAAACATTTTAGATTTTTCTTAATTGGGAACTATAATATATGAGAGTCTGCATGTTTAAGCTTTATCGTAAAATGAAAGATCTTACTAGTCTAATTACGAGGTTTAAATCGTAGGTAGCACTGATGAGCGGAACAGTTAACTGCAAACAATTCAATGTACGTTTTTATCGTCTTGAGTATGAGGTTACGGCGCATTTAATATCACACAATCAAGCTCCGCTTATGAGGTTTTTTTTGTGTAAAAAGTGATCGAATATATTGGAATACATTTTTAAAGTCTGTCTGAGTTACCGGTATTTTCTAAGCACACAAAGGCCAGTGAGCTCCAACTGGATTCAAACGCCAAAATTTTATTATTTCAAAATGTGTTAATATCCTGGAGCAGCTCAGAAATTCGTGTTTTCGTCGTCAAAAGTAATATATCAGAAGATGACTTCGGAAAACGTTTTTTTCCTTAAATCTCATTACTAAGCTTTCAGTAGTTCACGACTAAAATCTGGATTATTGCATGTCTGTCGGAATATTTAGAACAGAATATTAACTACATATTCCAATGAAAATCTTCACTCACCTTTTGTGGGAGATCAAATCCAGAAAAGTCCATTTTGCTATAAAGAAAAACACACGTTCTCTCATACCTTTCTTAATAAACACACGCGGGCACACATGCCATAGGCTTCACATAAGAAGTCATTCATTTAGTAATTTTTGAAGAAAAAAGGGAGACTTTAATCAGCATGCTGATTGCATCGTCAAGCAACAAATAATTTACCAGCTCCAGCATTGCGTTCCATTAAAACCTCATTAAATTTTCTGTTCTCCAATGGGAAATTCAGTTTTTGAACAACCAACATTGGTTCATATGGTAATCACTAATTTGTTAAATATCTGAGCTAATGTTGCATTTTTTTAAACCGTTAACAAATAATATATATATATATATTTCTACATTTTTATGAAGGAGATCAATTGTGGTTTTACTGAATAGGTTCCTTTGTTTAAAATGATAAGAGCTTAAAACTATTGCTATGCTGTCCACAACAATTATATCTTTACTTTGTCAACATGATGGAAATTAAAGAGGGAAATCCGTAAAGTACATTACTCCAGTATTTCTTCCTTTCCCTAAAATATATTTAAATTATTAATTGCATCGTTAGCCATAAAGGAGACGGCGAATTACAAATGAAAAATTCAGCATTTTGGGCTTCGTGGTGATTAAAAAAAAATAGCAATAATAAAAAAATAAGTCTTTAAGCACACAATGCTGAATGTTTTATTAGTAATTTTATTTCAAGGGCCCATAGGTGAGGCTCATGGTGGGAGTATGAAAGTGCACCCTGCCAATTAACATCGACTCTGGACTGCAAGTTGTGCTCAGTGCATATTTGGGTCATTTTGCATGAGTGACCACAACCAAGTCAGTGTTAAGACTGCCGTACAGGCAGCACTGGAGCAGTCTATTTCTGAACGCTCTTGTTCATTCCGGGCCCAGTGGTTGTGTCAGGTGCAGCTCTGTGTGATTCAGTAGCTGGCACATCCTCGTCAGCTCAAAGCCCTACAAGCAGCAATCCTGGGGAGTCCTACAAACCCCAGCTCCCAGACAGCCCAGAGCACAGGCGTTCACCTTTAAATCCTGTTATCTGACATTGGGCTATAACAGCTCCATATTAGCCCGGATGGGGTCAGCTTTATTCAAGGATTAACAGCAGTCCCTTGTAACATCCCAAACACAGCTGACAAAAATAGGACACTTCCATTTTAGGTGTTAGTAATTACTTGATTAGGCGTGTTCTGCCCTACCCCCACTCTCTCCCTCTCTCTCTCAAAAGCACATATGCATTGTTTAAGAGGCAGTTGAACTGCAGTCCGCAGAAAACAGAAGACTGAAAAAGAGATATTTTTGTTATCCAGGTAAGTGATTTAAAAACATGTGTCATAGGACTTTGCAGACACATCTGCCTTCAGCTGTATAGAAAAAAAAATTAATAGGGATGTTGTGAGAAAAATCCTCCAAAATAAAATGTTTCATTCATCACGTGGATTTGCATCACAATAATGCTCTCCTACTGTATATTTGCACATGCTCGTATTATTGTGTATATTCTTCTTCAGTCGTAATCCTCACTGAACGTGTGTACTAAGGACACCTAATTGTAACAAGAAATCTGCTCATTTAACTTCTTGAAGCTTTTAAAAAGTAACAAAAATGTACAAATATTGAAAGAGAAAATTACGTCAAAACAAGCTGGTGTTCTGCTGGAACCTTCATATTGATTTCAGGAAACAGCACTTTCTGTGTTTTTTCAGATCAGTGGTTACACAAATAAGAGATACAATGGCATTCTGATGATCATGTTTAATTAATAATGAAAAAATCGTTGAAAAGGTATTTCTGCTACAAAAGCTGGATATTAAGGACTGGTAGAATTTACTCTGAGACCAGATGAGCAGCATTCTTGCATTGGAGACACAGCCTTAAAGTATACGGGAGGTTCATTTTAACGTGGAGGTAATGACCCCTTAGTTGAACTGCTTTTAAAAAAAAGGTTGTGGTGGGTCACTAGGGGGTATAAAAAAAGCCCATCCTCTTCACTAATAGAAGAACCTGCTTACAATTGCGTCCTTGTCAGCACCTACCTCCCACCAAAGAAAAATATTGGGACTGTAAGAAGTGAAGTCTCCTCCCCTACCATTAAGGCAGCACTCAATTGAAGCAGCAGGTTGGGGCAAAGGGGCAGAGACATGCAAGAGTTCTCAACAGGGGTCAATCTGACCAAACAAATTAACAAAGGATGACACTGGGGGACAGTCTGTCCCATCTGAAGCTTCCGTGTAGCCTTACAGAGTAATGCAAGTTCACAGGTGGGACAGATCTTGAACCCTCTTGTACAGAAGCCCCCTCCCCTTCACAGTTTCTACACACTCCATAGCTAATTCCGCAAGGAAGGGGAAAAAAGAAACAAGCTCGCAAAGACATTTTGAGCTCTACATCCGTGTTAACACTGAAACTGTTAATGAAATTGCATAATGACAAGGGCTTTGCAATTTCAAAGATCCAATTTTCCCTCACAGTCCAGATTTCTTTAATGCTGGAGCTTGAGAAGTAAGCATGAAACTAACCCTTCATGTTGAATTTAACATGAAATAATGTGTGATTAGTGAGAACTGAAAAATATGGTGACTACCGATTTTGTGGAATGCTGAAGGAGATTTTATTTTCTGGTGGCTGTGACAATTCTGGCTTGTAGCCTGAACTCCTTGGGTCTCAGAAGCTAAGCAAGGTAGGTCCTGGTGAATACAGGGTTGGTTGCTGTAGAAATTGCTGTTGGTGTACCAGTGGTGCCATTCCTCCCTGTGAGCAAAAAACGTCCCAACCAGATTTCTAAAATAGTGACCATGGCATGGTGCTCTAGAAGGTCCTGACTACATGTTGTTGTTATCATTACTAATTAACTTTATTTAGTACCTTTGAAAGTTTAAAAGTAGCATCTCAAAGAGCTTTCCAGTTGGTGTAAAAAAAACATGAAAACAAAAGAAAGCAGTTATAAGAATAACAAACTACAAAATAAGCACATAAAAGTGCAGGAGAACATATATTGTCATTAGAAAATGGAGCAGACACAGACCCTAATAAAGTAAAAGCCTTTCTGAAACAGAGGTTTGGAGACTAGATTGGAATGCACTTGGGTTAGGTGATTCTCTGACTCACCTGGATTCCTGATAGAATTCAAGAGCTTTGGGCCGCAGCATGAGAAGACCCTGACAAGCTTAAGAGGTACAGAGGTGCCAAGCCATGTCAAGCCTCGTCTCTGAGCATGACGATTTCGAAGACAACTTGAACAGGAAGCCATACCGAGTGCTCAGGTGAAATTTGATCGTTTGCACGTGAACTGGTCAGGAATTCAGGCTGCTAAATTCTCAATATATTTAAGTTTGTTCAGACTTAGATACCCCAGTGAGCACGGCATTGCGGTAATCAGTTCTAGAAAAGACAAAAAATGTTTTGGCCAGCTTCAGGCAAAGACAACTTAGTCCGCCAATATTTTTGAGGTGGAAGAATGATGTTTTTACAATATTCTGCAGGTGGAGGTCAAAGAACAAGCCAGGATCAAATATCACCCCTACATTCTTCAATGTGGATTGGAATTCAAGCATAGTGCTATCCACAGATAGGGTTACTATATTGGCTTTATGTACATGATGGAGGGGCTGAGCAGTGCGACTTAAGTCCTGTCACAGTTGAAAAGAAGGAAATTTTGAGCCATCCAGGTTTTTAAATCAGAGAAGCCGTCTGAGAGAATACAGAGACAGCTTTGTCAGTGTCAGGTTTAGTATGGACATAGACTTATGTATCAGCTCAGAAATGGTAATTCACACTTTAATAGTGTACTCTTAAATAGTGATGTCAGACATTCCAAACACAGTTTCTGTGCTGTGTTCTCAAAAAACAGATCAGAAGGGTTAAGAAAGGTTATTTGAGGTTATTGTTAAACTGCATTGAAACAGGACATTCTAAAACTTTCACAAAGGCTAGATAGAGGGTGAAAATTGTTTAGTCTAGAGCCACATTTGTTTTTTTAGGCACTTGAGTAACTGAAAACGTTTCAAAGGCTGTTGGTATGACTCCACTGCTCAAGGACTTATTTATTATGTTGAGGATGGTAGGGCAGATGGCTGAAAAACAGGATTTAAATAGAAGGAAAGGGATATAGATCTAGTAGACAGTTGGTGGATTTTAGATGCATTGCCGGTTTATTAAGGCATGCAGAGTCAAGTTCAAACAAGAAAGTGAAGTCCAGAAACAGGATAGAGGAGGACCAGTAAACGCAGGCCTGCAGGGTGCTGTAGCAGTGGCAGGCGAGGGAGAGAGAATGTGATGCTTGGGTGTGAAAAACGAAAAAAAGTGCAGCAAAGCTTCCTGAAAGCCCAAGAGAAACGTATGGTGGATGAGGGAAAGGTTGTATTCCTATTTCCCCACATACAACACACCACTTTATATGGCAGGGCCACCAGGTGGTGGATTTGCTCTCATCGTTCCAAGGTCTTATGTACTCAAACATAGGAACATCATGATTTGTCACAGGGCAGCAAAGAGGAAGGCTGGTATAAACCTGAACTGGGTCACAGCACTTGTAAGAGAAATTGTATGCCACCCTTAACAAGAGAAATTGTATGCTGTAACAACACCACTAAAGAGATGAAAGGACACACGATCCCACCTCTGTAGATCAGTCAATCTGTTTGGGTTGAGGTCTCAAGTTTTTAGATGTTCTCCTATGTGCCACAGTGAAGGAAACAAAACTAAGAATGAAAATATGAAATATGTATGTCTGCTGATTTTTGCTTATAAAAATCTGTGCTTATGCTACCACTACTACAGGGGTGTTACTTGCACACATTTGTAGTGAGACTAAAAGCAATAATAACACATCTAAGGGTTTAATATTACACTAAGGAGCACCGGAACATGTGGAAGAACTTTGTTTTTGTTGCTTCTACACTGTCATTTTAAATGTTAATAACCGGATTAAATTTTGCAAGCCAGGAGGTAAAGGTTGTAATCATTCAAAAATACAATCTGCAAGTTGTAGGTTCTTTGATCTGCACAAGGTACTATATAAACATAGCCAAGGTTACAAATAAGAGGAGGCATATCTATCTATGACTATCACAGAGGCAATAAAAATAATTTCTGAAAGTAGGAAGGGTGTCTATAAGGCTTATCTAGCATAAGA